CGGGTGGATCACCTGAGGTCGGGAGTTCAAGACCAGCCTAACTAACATGGAGAAACCCCGTCTCTACTAAAAACACAAAATTAGTAGGGCATGGTGGTGCATGCCTGTAATCCTAGCTACCAGGGAGGCTGAAGCAGGAGAATCACTTGAACCTGGGAGGCAGAGGTTGTGGTGAGCCGAGATTGTGCTATTGCACTCCAGCCTGGGCAACAAGAGTAAAATTCTATCTTAAAAAAAATAAATCAATAAAAATAAAAATAAAATGGATTGTGGTAATGGTTATAATAAAAAACCACCTAAGTATTCACTTTAAATGGGTTAACTGTATGGTATATGAATCATCTCAATAAAGCTGTTTTTAAATATTAGCATAAGTCATTTCTACATTAAGAGATTAAGCCTCCCTCTTTCAGAATCTGCAGGCAGATTTTCTAATCTCATTTGCCATTTGCTTTCTCATATTCAGAAGATACATATTTTTAGTTACATCTATAATCTGCTCCTTAATGAATTCTCCCATTACTTTTATTTGGAAATTCTGTCATATCCAAAGATAGTAACTAATATGGTCTTCTAGCTTATTTTCGTTATTCATCTGGATTTTGGTGTACATTATAAAGCTATAATCTAGTATTCTCCAAAGGTTTACCTTCCTTATGTTCCTAGGATTTTGGGGATATTTTATTTATATATCTAGGCTACTACTGCATTGGTCTGAGAGTTCAAATGTAAACCATTAGTACATTTTCTATACTTTTTAGCAGTGAAATATGGCTTTTTATCTAGTATATCAAGATTTCATTACTCTCCTTTCAAAATATTCCTATTCTTGCACATCTTCCAGATGAAATTTAGAATAACACTATCAAGCCATTGAGAGCATTATTAGACTTGCATTCAATTAATTCACAAATAGAAGAAAAGTTTAAAATATTTCATTTTATTAGCTAGGAGCAGTAAATAACAGAACACCATACAGGTCTTCTGTTATCTTCATTCTTGCACAAATACTCAGTGTGTCTATAAATTTGACAAAGCCTGCTGGATATCTGGAGGTTTTTGCTAATTTTATATCAATTTTAAGGCAAGATTCCTGGGCTTTCTACTTGGACCATTATATTATCTGCAATAATGGCAATAGTTTTTTCTTTCCCAATAGTTGTAATTCATTTCTAGTTTGGGTCTTACTGCACTAAAAAAATTAAATCAATATTCTGATGTCAAGTCCTGAAAACATTAAAGCATGTATTAAAAACAAAATTGTAAAGGATATGTAAAGCTTTCAAGCTTTAGAGAAAAATCTGAAATTCATCAATTTTGCCACTTTCTAGAATGTTTCTCCTAATTTAGGGCTAAAGAGCACCCCAAAGTGTTTAATAGATCTGGTGTGACATTATTTGGAGCAGGTACTGCATTCAATATTGGGGTCATGGGTCTCTCTTCCCTCAACTGTGCCCATCACATTCAAACCACAGCAGGTGACAGTTCCTATTAATCTTTGCTACTGACTGGAAAACTGTTCTTTTTCCTCGGCAGACACAGCAGAAGTGTCTAATGCCCTAGAAGGCAATACTGGCCATTCAATTGCATGCTTCTAAAGCCCCACAATAATCTTTTTGCATGCTCTGTGTTAGTTTGTTTTTGACATCCTCTCTTCCCCTCTGACATTTGTGCCTTGAGAATGAATCTTATTTCAAATCACTACTTGCACACACTCATTTGTTACAAAGTATATCAACTACCAAATTTAATATTTGAGTGCTGGTTGCTAACAGAAAAAGGAATAAAAAATGTGTGCAGACAAGGCATTGGTTTCTGAATAGCTGATTTTAATGGTGATATGACTGTTCTAACTGCATTCCATCTCGCCCACATTCAAAGGAGTAAAACTTACGGTGACCATGTTTATCATAAAATTGTATTGCATTTATTTTAAACTGGTGGTCCCCAACTTACTTAAAAATCATAAGAGGTTTGACTTAGAATTTTCAGCTTTACCACAGTGCACAAGTGATATGCTTTCAAATATCCATACAACCATTGTTTTTCACTTTCAGAACAATATTCAATAAATAACATGAGCTATTCAACACTTTAGTATAAAATGGGCTTTGTGTTAAACGGTTTTGCCCAACTGCAGGCTAAATGTTCTGAGAACATTTAAGGCAGGCTAGGCTAAGTTATGATTTCAGGTTAGAGATATTAAATGCATTTTCAATATGATATTTTCAAATTATAATGGGTTTACCAGGACCTAGCCACATCATAAGCTGAGGAGCATCCATATTTAACATAATGAGAAATTATTTTTATTTTTCTAAAAAACAGAAAAAGTCCATTTCAATCGACACTACAGAGGAAATGAACCGAAACATGGCCTCTCCCTACCCAAATCACTGGAAGAGAAAATCTACTTATATTTAAGTGAACTGTACTTAATAAATGACACAAATATATGTTTAAAAACAATGCTCCACATTTTCAAGGGTGAGTGACTCTTTACCAAGATCTGGAAAGAGCTTCAGTAACTGCCTATAAAATAAGGAACAATTTTTATTAACTCTTGTCCTTAGTTAAGAAATATGTAAATCTTGATGAATACTCATTAGCTAGAGTTCTTCCATCACAAAATTTTTGTTCACATATGTTTAAGGACTTTTTGTTTATGTTTTTTTGGAGACAGTTTCACTGTCACCCAGGCTGGAGTGCAGTGGTACGATCTCAGCTCACAGCAACTTCCACCTCCTGGGTTCAAGCGATTCTCCTGCCTCAGCTTCTTGGGTAACTGGGATTACAGGCACATTCCTGGCTAATTTTTGTTTTTTTTTTTGTAATTTCAGTAGAGATGGGGTTTCGTCATGTTGGCCAGGCTGGTCTTGAAATCCTGAACCCAGGCAATCCCCCACCTCAGCCTCCCAAAGTGCTAAGATTACAGGTTGAGCCACCATGCCCGCCCTTGTTTGACTTCTAATTTGTGAATGTCATTTCTCAGATTTCTCTATAAAACACCTTCAATGACAGTACAAATAAATTAGTGTTTAATAATTACTATAAAGTAACTTAGATACTTTCTATATTTCTCACAAATCACTTGGGTTTTGCTTCTTCTGCATGTATCACAGGCTTCCTTTTCAAACCATCATTTTGATTCTTTAAATTTCTTTTCACAGCATCATGTTTCATTTGCTGTAAATTATTCTAAAAAGTTTAAAAGTGAGACGCTTTGAGCCCAATGAATGGATCGTATATAATCTCTGCCACAGGTATTAGGTATAGTGTTCGAACACTTTTTAACAAGTGTCGTTCTAGAAAGATGACATATTACAGCTACATAGAGGATAGTAAGTCTACAGTTTCAATGTGAGGCTTGGGGAAATAGACTCTAAATCCTATTTTTACATTTATGATGAAGAAAAAAACCCTCAAAACCTGCCAATTTAAATATAACTCAGATGCAGTCACAGTGTAATAAATATGCTGAGATAAATAACTTTGTATATTTGTAATTTTTAAAAAATTTAGTTTCCAATTTTGCTAAATTCAAAAATACATACAACTTAAAGCAAATAGGGCACAATGTTAACACCAGGTGAGGGTTATATGGTGTCCGTTCTACTACTGTTTTATTTTTGATGTAGATCAGCAATCTTTCAAAATAAAAAATGAAAAATGTTTATAAGACAAAGTGTATATCACTATCGCTAGTTTTAGAGTTAAAAAGTGCCCTATCTTATAAGTGAAAAACTTTTCTGCTAAAAGAAGCATGGGAGAAATATTTGACATGCATTAAAGGAAAAATCTGGTTTAGAAGCCAATAAAGAGAGAACACACTGCATGTACTGCCCTCATCAATATCATCTCTTGAGTTTTCAAAACAAACATGTTCCTCCTGCTCCAACACAAACTCCCATGCTAATCGTGCAAAAACACAGCAATCCACCAACTTCCACGGTTACAAATGATAAAGTTTAAAAACACATCTCTCAATATATGAAAATGTTTTCTGACTTTGAGGAAGAAAAAACGTTTTCTCAGTTGAATGCCTTAAAACTGTCTAATACTCTGAATTTCTCATGTACCATTTAATTTGGCTATGGTTTAAAAATACAGCATGTAGTTTTAATTCTTGTTTAAAGTCTAATGCCAAAGGACAAGGCCTCACAGTTCCCTGGTAGCTTGTTGGCTGAACAGTATCAACACAGCGAAATTACAAGACTTTCTTTTTAAGATTTGAATTTACTTTTTGAGATGTGAGACAGCACTACAGCACCCCCAAATCATCTGGATTATGGTGAAAATGGGGAGAGTAAAAATCGTATGCTGTGAATGATACCAACAACAACAAAAATCTGTCCCAAACCTAAAGTTCCCTTCCCAGGTCTTCCAACAGGTCACATGGAATGGCTGCACACTTCTTTCCTCCTCATGGAAGATTGAGAAAGGAGAAAACTTACAACTCAGGGGCAGATACCGGGAAGACCCAAGGACAGGGCCAGATCCGTTTAAATGAAGACACAGGTGACATTAGGATGAAACGATCCTGGGAGGTGGACACAGTGAATTTAATGAACAACAGCCTTAATTTTAAGAATAGTGTCAATTGCTGGTTTTTAAACTCATTATGGGCATCGGAAATTGTTTAAATAAACTCTTTCCCCCCCCGCCACTCCCCGGCCCTTCAAACCTGTATCATCCTCTCTTAGTTCTCTGCACTAATTACTGGCAGTCAGATCGCACAGACAATAATTTAGGGTCCAGTGAAAGTAACACAGCTTGATAGCAGAGTCTTGGGAGACTGGGGAAAGGAAGATATAGGCAAATCTCCAGAAAAATTGAGTGTTTCTCTTTGTAGAAGCTATAATAATAATTTTTTTAAAAAGGTGCCTTAACTTTGCTAATAACCTAAGATGATTTGTGGAAATTCACTAAACTAGAAATGGTTATTTTTTGGTTTGTGGAAGTGTGCATTGTTGCAAGCAAAAATAACACCAAACAATGTCAAGTCAAGCCCATTTTAAGCTCCCTGAGATGACATACAGAGACACACTACACAGTCCAGCATTAGAGCAGAAAATAATTTACAAAAAACATTTAGAGTAAAATCAAATTTCTATTTCAACAAATATATCAACAGATTAATTCTATCTTTGATTATCTGTTGCTATACGTTTATTTATACCAGAAAAATGGTCACATTTAAAACTCTCAAAATAGTTTTGGCACAGGTCACATTATTTCATTTTGCTAAATCCCTGAGCACATTGAACAGGCTGACCTTATGCATCGGGCGCTTCCCCAGACACCCTGGTCCTCTCCCCAGAGTGCCTTGCTGCCTGCTCTGGCCTCAAGGCTACTTTCACTCTTCCCAGCATTAACTCTAGATGAACATTTAATGCTATCACCTTTCTAGCCAATGGTGCTCTGCAGAAACCATGCAGCATCTCTGACAAGACCTAGAGTCCCCGCCCCAAAAAGGACCTCATACCATCTTCCTGATTCTTACTGACAGGGAAGGGGAACCAGAGAAGGGTACGTTTTGTGTATCCTTCATATTATTCATAAAATTGCCTGTAATGGTCAGTGTTTTAATGTCTCCAAAGCTTTATGTCTCAGATGCTCATCCAAACACTGGATGGCAAAGAGGTCAACATCCACGTCAAACTTATTGGCAAACAAGTGATGCTTGCGCAGCATCCAGTTCAAGTCGCCAGCTCCGAAAATGCACACCGAGCGCACGTGCACCCCGTCGCAGGGTGGGTAGGGAGCACCCTTGGAAACATCACCCTCAAAGTACTGCCACTTGACAAACCTGGCAATCGCCTGCATGTCAGACAAATCGTACTTATGGCTGGCAGAGAGTGAGCCAGGGACTTCAGGAATCCTCTGGATGGTAGCCCAGAGATACTCATCAGGGCTATATGTGTCTTGTGCCCACTCCATAAACTTTTGGATTTTTTCACTCTGTAGTACATACCCCACATACTCCCTACTGACCACAAAGTAGGCACTGCCAGAAAAAATGGGTGTTGCCAGCGGAGGAAGCATTTTGACAGTCCCTGTGTTTGTCAACTTTCCATTAATGACCTCATACCGCTTTTTCCACCTTTCTTCTTTATTGGATGGCATCCTCTCCGTTTCCAGGTTGTTTTCTCCCATCAACAACTTGAGCTTCCTGACAATTTCTAGGTTGGTTTTAATAGGAAAATCCATACCACAAAGATTTATCAAGTACTTCCAGTTCGCCCTCATTGCGTAGAGGTCCTTCATGCAGTTGAGGTCAGCCTGAACCCGGCTCCACGATGCATAAACCACACTCTCCAATCGGCTGGCCACGAAGACATTACTGAAACAGGATGCAATGCCCATCACTGCAGCTAAATAGGAATCCTCGGATTTTTTGTCCACATGAATGCAATAGAAATTCTGAGGCATATAGATGGCCCTCAGTAGCCTGTCAAGCATTTCGATCTTGTGATGAACCACTATAGAATACGCTATTGGAAACTCTGCCTCTTCTTTACTAAGGGGCTCTACAATATATTTGCGCCTCTTGATGAAAGAATTACAGTCACTGGTCATGTTTATATAGTCATCAGGTGTCCACCGAGGGCGCTTTTTAAATTTTACTGTTAGGATCTCAAGCTTTACCTTTAGGATTTCATTTACATCACCCTGTAAAACTTTGGTGCAATTAATATCACTACTAGGATTCTCCCCAGCAAGCTCCAAGTGTCTGACACTTACAAATTCGGGCTTCTGATGAATCCTTACAACGGAGAAGGTGATTAGGGAAAAAACAAGAACCACAACGTAGTATTTAGTGGGATAAGAAAAAAGTCTCCTTCGCAGCAACTTCCTCAGCATTTCAAACAATAATCAGGGATTTCCTTTGTGAAGGGCAGTCTTCTACGCTCCAAGTACCAATGATTTTTCCTCCGTTGTGGCCTTGAACGTTCTCAGTTTGCATTTATCAGAACTGCAATGGCATCTTGAAATGAAGAACATCACTGGAAAAAAAGCAATTATATATATAGACATATATATAGAGAGAGAGCAATTATACACAAATTATATATATATATACATATATATGTATATATATATGTGTGTGTATATATATATATGAGAGAGAGAGAGAGAGTCTTTCACAATAAATCTTCTCAGGCTCAAAAACTGTCCTCTTTGCTATGGGGTTAGGTTTAAAACAAAAACAAAGTGACTTAATCACAGGAAAAGTGGCAGTAGTACGGGAGACCCAGTCTCTAGTATTTATGCCACAGATTGAAAAAGAAAACAAAAGAAAAAACAAACCCCAAAGCCCAGTACACGGATGCACTAGAATACCTTACAACAAGCATTTTACTCTCTGGTGTGCTGAGGTGCAAAACCATATTTGGAGGCCTAGGCAATAATGACTGAACAGTCCATAGCTGGTGAGTTTCTGACACTGTGCCAGTTCTAAGAATTAGCGCCCCTTTTCTTGAAATCGTTAGTAATTTAAGTTCCTCCTGACATCTTTTAATGTCCATTAGCTGATATCAGCAGCCCTAAAGATTTGAAGAGATCAGATCCATTCTGCTTTTTGCTGATTTAGGATTTGGGGCACACTTAGGGAGAAGTTCAGAAATGGTTGTGACTTTTAAGAATCTTTGAAGTAAGGGCAAGTCATGGAATTTTCAAACTGGATTAAAAAGGCTCAGTTGAAACCAGGCCCAATCTGGGACTGTGTCGGGTTGGCCCCACAATGAGTTAGGTTCCATGCCAGACACTATAAGAAACCAAAATATTCATAATCCAAAAGAGAGATACAGCTTGCATTTTCTGCACTAGTTATAACAGGCTGTAATAACTAAGTCTTGCAGAAAACAATAGTGTATACAAATTGTAATTTATGACAGACCTTTTGTCTATATTCAAATTCCGGGACTACAACCCACTTTTACTATATAAAATGTTTACAAACATGTAAATAGTTTTGTTTTCAAAAATCAATTTTATAACTTGGCAATTGGTTCTACAGCTGATAAGCATGGCTGTTCTAAAAAAAGTCAAATACTATCAATTTGACTGTTACAAATCTGCTCATAACAAGATTTCTAGAGATCTGACACTAGTTTTTAACACCAGAAACTTAACTATTTCATTAGGAAATGAGTTGTGAATAGTAATAATACAAATAAAGATGAGTAACTGACCATCATTAATATAAAATATAAGAAAAGTATTCTTCCGCCACGGTCGCCATTGGAGAGTAGCAGCCATGGCTCTTCGGTATCCTATGGCCGTGGGCCTCAACAAGGGCCACAAGGTAACCAAGAACGTGAGCAAGCCCAGGCACAGCCGCCGCCGCGGGCGTCTGACCAAACACACCAAGTTCGTGCGGGACATGATCCGGGAGGTGTGTGGTTTTGCCACATACGAGCGGCGCGCCATGGAGTTGCTGAAGGTCTCCAAGGACAAATGGGCCCTCAAGTTAATCAAGAAAAAGGTGGGGACACACATCCGGGCCAAGAGGAAGCGGGAGGAGCTGAGCAATGTCCTGGCCGCCATGAGGAAAGCTGCTGCCAAGAAAGACTGAGCCCCCTCCCCTGCTGTCTCCCTGAAATAAAAAACAGCTTCCTCCAAAAAAAAAAAAAAACAAAGAAAAGTATTTAGTCTTTTTACCAATATAGTATTCACACACTCAGAAAATATGTTGTTGAACTAATCCTAAGTATTTACTTCTTTTCTCAAAATTATGGCTGGTTAACTTTTCTCTTTTAAAATTTCCTTCTCTCTAGTCTTATTTTTCTAATTCTATGTTTGTGGATTGCTAAATATTTGAAAACATCTTGAAATTTAGGTTAAGTTCTTTGAAAGAAAACTCTAGCAACATTTCCCTTAATGTATACCAAGGAACAGTTTAATGGTTCAGTATGATTGAAAAATCCAATGTATCCTTTCCTCCACTGTGAAGATTCCCAATGCTCACTGGCAAATTCATGACTATTCTGCAGCTTAATTTGTTGCTCATCTCATTTTCTTCTAACAATCTTGATCACCACCCCACTCCGCACCTCTATCAGAAAGCAACCACGGAGAGATTCTGAAACATTACATAAGAATTTCAACCATTAAAGCAGCAAAACACTACAAAAAATAGGACTGTAAGTAATTCCTGCCCCTTACTGGTTCAAGGCATTTAGGGAAATCTCTATGGAATTATTAGCAGACCACTAAACTAACTGAGAGAAACTTGAGTGGGTCTCACATAAAAAAGAATATAGGGCAGGGCGCGGTGGCTCACGCCTGTAATCCCAGCACTTTGGGAGGCCGAGGCAGGTGGATCACGAGGTCAAGAGCTCGAGACCATCCTGGTCAACATGGTGAAACCCCGTCTCTACTAAAAATACAAAAAATTAGCTGGGCATGGTGGCGCGTGCCTGTAATCCCAGCTACTCAGGAGGCTGAGGCAGGAGAATTGCCTGAACCCAGGAGGCGGAGGTTGCGGTGAGCCGAGATTGCGCCATTGCACTCCAGCCTGGGTAACAAGAGCGAAACTCCATCTCAAAAAAAAAAAAAGAATATAAACTTTAGACAACTGGTTTGGGAAAGCCACTAAACAAACAAATAACAAAACAAGTACTGGTCAGGGTAGGGGTAGAGGTCTGATTTCCACGGCTGACACACTATCAGCTACCCAGTTTCAACAAAAAAATTACAAGGCATGCAAAGAAACATAAAAGTCTGGTCCACATACAGGACCACAAAAGTCTGGTCCACATACAGGAACAAAAAAAAAGTTGTCAATAAAAATGTTCCCAAAGAAGCCCAGGCATTGGATTTAACAAATGCTTGAAATCAGCTCTTATAAATATGTTCAAAGAACTAAATAACTGAAAGACAGTAGGAGAATGGTATCCAACCAAATTGAGAATTTCAATAAAATAATAGAATGTACAACAAAAAATGTGAACCCTTAATAATAATAATGTATATAACAAGTATGGGGAGTTAGAAAATAGTTGAAAAAAAAATAATGTCTAAATATTGGTTTAATTGTAAAAAAATGTGCCACACTAATGCAAGATATTAATACCAACAGAAACACTGAGGGCATAAATAGAAACTCTCTGTACTTCCTGTGTAATTTTTCTGTAAACATAAAACTGCTCTAAAAATAGTATTAATAGTGAAATGAAAATTAATTTGTACATCCAGGAAGTTCAATGAGCTCCAAAGAGGATAAACTCAGATATCCTCACTTAAACACTTTATGATCAAACTATTGAAAGACAAGGACAAAGGATTTTGAAAATGGTAAAGAAAAGTGATTATACAATGAATCCTGAAAATGACTAACAACTTCAAATGAAAACCAGTGGAGACCAGAAGGTAGTGAATGACGTATTGAAGGTGTAGGAAGAAGGACTGTCGGCTGGGCGCGGTGACTCATGCCTGTAATTCCAGTACTGGGAGGCCGAGGCGGGCAGATTACTTGAGGCCCAGAGTTTGAGACCAGCCTGGCCAACATGGTGAAACCCGATCTCTACCAAAAATACAGAAATTAGCTGGGCATGGTGGCGCATGCCTGTAATCCCAGCTACTTGGGAGGCAGAGGCCGGAGAATCGCTTGAACCTGGGCAGTGGAGGTTGTAGTGAGCCAAGATTATGCCACTGCACTTCAGCCTGGGCAACAGAGCAAGACTCCGTCTTAAAAAAAAAAAAAAAAAAAAAAGGATCGTTAATCAAAAATTCTATAATGAGCAAAATCATTCAAAAACAATGAGAAATTAGGATATTCTCAGACAAATAAAAACAAATAAAATGTATTACTAGCAGACTTACCCTACACAAAATACTAAATGAAGATCTTCAGGCAGAAATGAAAAGATTGTAGACATCAACTCAAATCCACATAAAAACATAGAAAGCAGTAGTAAAAGTATATATATACATACATATGTATGTATGTATATATAGGCAAATTTATAGTATAAATGTAATTTCCTTTGTAACTGTCTTCCTATTTGATTTAAAAGAGAGCTACATAAATTAATGATGTTAAAACTGTTGACAGGCTTATAATGTATTTTTCTTTCTTTTTTTTTTTTTTTTGAGACAGAGTTTTGCCGTTGTTGCCCACACTGGAAGGCAGTGGTGTGATCTTGGCTCACTGCAACCTCTGCCTCCCAGGTTCAAGCGATTCTCTTGCCTCAGCCTTCTGAGTAGCTGGGATTACAGGCGACCTTCAACACGCCTGGCTAATTTTTATATTTTTAGTAGAGATGGGGTTTCATCATGTTGACTAGGCTGGTCTGGAACCCCTGACTTCAGGTGATCTGCCTGCCTTGGTCTCCTAAAGCACTGGGATTATAGATGTGAGCCACTGTGCCAGGCCCTAATGTATTTTTTATCTCGTTGCAAAATCATAATAAATAGCTGGTAGAAATGTAAATGCCTCATCAAGCTGCTTTAGAATGTTTGGTAGATCCACAGAAAGTTAAAACTAGAGTTACCATATGACCTAGTTGTTCCACTATTAGGTATATACCCAAGAAAAGTGAAAACATATATCCATGCAAAAATTTGTATACAAATGTTCATAATAGCATTATTAATAGCTAAAAAAAGTGAAAGCAAGCCAAATGACCATGAACTGAAGAATGGATAAACAAAATACGGTTTATAGATAAAATGGGATATTATATGGCTATAATAAGAAATGAAGGTCTCACAAATGTTCCATACAATGTAGATGAAGAACCTAGAAAACGTGCTAATGTACGTAACAGTCATTTACTATATAATTCCATTTATATTAACTATCCAGAAAAGGCAAATCCATATAGACAGAAAGCAGATGAGTGTCTGCAGGGGCTGGGGACATGGGGGAATGGGAATGACTGCTGGTAGGTACAAAGGTTTCCTTTGAACGTTCTCTAAGCAGACAGTGGAGATTGATGTACAACTTTGTGAACATAAACAGATTGTAAGCTATAAATTATGACACCACTGAGTTTTGGGT